CAGACGAAACGCGGAAGCAGAACTTCCACTTCACGTCGGTATTCTTTTAGGTCGTGGTACTAACCCGGCTCGAGCCGGCCCATACGTGCAACAGCAAAAACTGCTGCGTGGCTCTACCACCGTTAAACTGTTTGAAGTACTTTTCTATATATTTTTCTATAATTATTTAGTTTGGATTTACTAATTTTATCTGGATACAAGTTATGCAATATTTCAAGTTTTTGAAGATTATTTCTAGATATCAAAATACCTTTGGTTGTTAGTTTATGCTTGTTTCTTCTGGGTTTAAATGTTTTTAATGGAAATGCAGTGTAGTAACAATAGTTTATATGGTGTATCAGAATGTTCATTTTCTCATTTGCATCAAGTTTCAAGTTTATATCATTTCTTACACATTCAAAGTCTTTACAGAACAAATAATGAAAATATTTTATATTTTCCTGAGATATTATTCGAGATATGACCTCTGTCTTTTCTTTTGGTTTAGGATACTTAGATTTCAATTTATACTTTAATTCTATGACATTATGATCTGATAATTTTACTTCTAATACTTTACCTCTGTGATACTGAAAATCATCATCGTCATTTAAGATGAAATTATCAATACATGTGGAAGACTTGCCTTTAGTTCGGGTTGGCTCATTTAAGACAAATTTACATTTCAATTCACTTAGTAGTTTTAAAAATTTGCGTACTTTATTATTTGGTTTCAATATATTTAAATTAAAATCTCCTGTAATTACAATTCTTTTGTTTTCCTTACCTATTTTTTCGATAACTTTAGTCATTATATCTTCGAATATTAAATAATCATAATCAGGTCTATATACACAAATAATAACTAATTTATACGATTTTACTTCAAATGCCGCTAATTCACAATTCATTTCAAAACTCAACTTTACAATGTCATGTCTTACTTTATATTCAAATGTATTCCTAACAAAAATAGCTGTACCTCCATGTTCAAATAACATCCTATTGTAATATGACACAAGTATATAGCCTTCGATATTCATTACGCCTAACTTTAATTCATTCTTCCAAGTCTCTGTTAGACAAAGCACATCACAAGTTGTATTTTCGGTTGTTAATAATTCCAGCTCTAAATATTTATTATTAATACTCTGGATATTAGCCTGCACAATCGTTAACCAGTTAACGGAGTCTTGGTCCTGTCTAAAAAATTTTGTGAACAACTTAAATTAGAATTTAATTTTATAAAGTGCAAACAAGACGAAGCATTAAAGTGACTATATTTGATACTTTTAACAATTTCCTCAATCACGATATTTTTTACTTTTGCCTTAGTTTTTACATTTATTTCAAGATATCTGACATTCTCAGATACTGCAGCCATATTAAAGAGTTCTTTATTAATAGTTAATATTTTATCATCATTTATGTTGTCATACATTACACTTCCTAATAAAATGTTGAATTTTCTATTTTCACTGCTCACAATTCTTCGAATCTCGTTCACATATGACGTCTCCATTTTAATGTCGTCGTAGTTTCCTATTAGTATTACCGCCAAGTCATTTTCTTTCAAATCTTTGGTGTATAGTTCAAAGTGTTTCAATATTTGTTTATGATTTCCGCCTGGTTGACAGTAATTTGTTATTTTTGTATTTTCCAATTTTCGCAATAATTTGCTTGCTAGTCCACTCCCTATCCTGTCCGAAAACATTTCTATTCTTGTCAGTATTTTTGTACTCTCTTTTCCTTCTCATCTCTGTTCCCTGTCTTTTTCTGATGTTATACTTATATTTATATTTCCTTTTTTTGCAGCTTTGAAGAGTCGTTTTCTTGCTTTTTTATTATTTCTTGTTTTTTCTGGACCTTCGTTGATGTTTTTAGTTTAGTATGTGTTCCCATTTCTGATAATTTATGTTGTATTCTATTCTTTTCTATCTCTAAATTTTTCACTTGTTTCTGTAGCTTTTGCAGCCTTTTATTTTGTATTTTAATTTTTTAGAAGGTTTTTAGTTGCATATTTGATTTTAGGTTTTAAAAGCAATTTAATTCTTCTATTTCTTTTTATTTTAATGTTTTGTGAGCTCAGATTATCATCGGTCTGAGTTACTGCATTTTTATTAATTTTAATAAAAAGTTGAGTTTTGTTTAATCTGCCAGCTGGCTTGGGTGACATACCGCGTGTTTTTTCGGGTCCTAAAGTTTGTATGGCTCTTAGTGATTTTATCACCATCTGGCAGTTTTCTAGTTCCTTTTGCAAGTCACTGTTCTGTAGTATTAGGTTATCTACTTCTATATTAGCAACTTGAAGCGTTTGTTTCAGTTGTTCAATTTGCATTTCCAATTCAATCATCCGTGAGCTACTATGTATAGATACATCTGGAAGGCTTCTTATACTATCCTCATACATTATAACGGAATCATTGGTGATTGAGCTTTCCAAGCGTGCTACATCATTTTCAGAATTATAACGCCGCATGCGCCTGAATGTTATGTTACTATTGCTTGTATTCATCTTAAATATGCTTACTCTCCAACAATCAATTTATATTACTTTTATGTGTACTGCTCTGCTGTTTCCTCAGGTTTATTATACACAAATTGATGAAGGCTGTCCATAAGAACATACAAAAAGTAGTCGAAGATATCGTGGATTTGATCTCACGTCGTTTTGGATTTAACGCGTCGCACTATCCACTCGGCCAGCTGGCTCGTTAAATAAATGGTGAATTTAAGTGTTATGTTCCGGACTCGAATCATTTAAGATACTGGAAACACTCGTTACCTTTTTGTTTTACGAGAAGTTATTAACATTCACCTTCATATGAAAAAAAAATCACTTTTCGTTAAGTTTTTGATCAAAATTTAGTATTTAAAAGTTTTTAGACACTAACACACCACTAAAGAGTCATACCACTATTTACGCACGTAATAAATGACATTTTGGGATATTCAACGCACTTTTTACCACTGTTTTTATTTAATTTTTGAGGACGACACAACAGATCGCCCGTTCGCTTCGGTCACTTTTTTTGAATTAAACCATTAATTAACCAAAAACCACTATAAATCGTCATGGCCAATTCGTAATGAGAATTGATTGTTTCACAAACAGTTTTACACTTTTTATCAGTTTCCTGAAAAGAATATTAAAACGATCATTAGCTGAAGTGGCAATTAGCCGACAGTATAGTTTTAAGAATTAACAAACGATGGTGGAGTCAACAGTGGTAGAGCCACGCGGCAGCTTTTGCTGTCGCATGGATGGGCCGGCTCGAACCGGGGTGGTACCACGACCTCACAGAAAACCAGCGTGAAGTAGAGGTTTACCTCTGCGTTTCGCTTGGTGAGTGCAGGTGGCCGGAGGCCCTTTTTACTGGAAATGAGGCATTTCATCTTAGTCCTCACGGGTGACAACGCATCAACATTTTGATTTGTAATAGAGGATAGATGTAAATGTCTCTGGGCCGCAGCAACCACTTACCATCAGGTGGACTGTCCACCTGTTTTTTTACCTGTTAGATTTAAAAAAAAACATATTTTATATACAGTTCATAGAAGTTTTTATTAATTTTACGTTATTATTTTTTCTCTAAAAGTTACAAAACAAAGACAACAAAGATAACCTATACAGTACGTTACGCAACACTGCATGGTATGGTCTCCTCATTTTGACAGGGTTATGGAGTGATTAGCCTGTAGGACTGCTTTTGTGTACCTATGTTGGTGAACCTCACATCATGTTGTCAAAATATATTGATATGTGAATTTCCTCAAATGTTTTCTTTTGATACCAAGCACGTGGCAAATCAGCAGTTGAAATTGCAATCAAAATCTCATTGGCGCCGGCGGGGATCGAAGTCGGAATGCTCGCGTACTGTAAAATTTACTTTATTCGATTGAAATAAAACATGATATAATCCGTAAAATTAGTTTTGTTTCATATGCAGTGTTTACTTAAATATGAGACATTGTTTTCAATTTTGATCGACGTAAAACAGTTTTGTCTCTTCTGAACCGACTTTAACGATTTTTTTATTAATTAGGTTAATATACTTCAGGGGAGTGGTTCTGTAAACATTTGGAGAACAAATTCCACTCCTAAAAGTAGATAAATAGATGTAACTATTCAGACGATATTCTAGTTGATATCTTTAGCTTGTGATATTCCTTAATCTACTTAAAATGCTCACAAATAAACTTTTAATAAAAATGCGAATTCAAGGAAATATAAAAGATATAAAAGATTTTATATGGTAGAGTCATGCTGCAGCTATGTTATTAGTATAGTTGTAGCACGAATGGGTCGGCTCGACCGGGGATGGACCACGCTCTCACAGAATACCAGCTTAAAATAGCATCTCAATGCTGCTGTGTTTCCTATGGTGAGTGTAAAGAACCGGAGACCCCACTCTATTTACTGGAAACGAGGCATTTTGCATTTTCAATCGTAGTTGAGGATAGATGTAGGCCCACAGTAACCACTTATCATCAAGTGGACTGTGAGCTCGTTTGTTACCCTTATCTTATAAAAAAAAAGATAAATTAATAACAACTGTCTACGAAAACGCCTGTGGTTTTTTGTTACGCACGAAGTTGCGTTACATACGTTTTACTTATTTCTTTTTTTCTTTGTTGTTTTTAAGTTGTAACCACCGCCAATTTTTTTTTTGTCAATTGAGAAGTACACGGCGATAATATCTGCATCAAGAAGTTTTATTTTCTCCTCGAATTAAAAAGTATTCATGGTCAGCTTCGAGCCGGATTCTAGCGGCTATTGAGGATTTTCATCGAGAAATTATAATCTACTGAATATCTACGTAATTAGAGATTTACAACAAGTATATACAACTTGGAACGTCCGGGGTCACCTTGAAGACGGAGACAAAGAAATTTTGAAGAAAACAAAAGGAAATAACCAGTGCAGTGTTTTTATTTTTTATTTTCGTTATATTTAGTGATAATTTCTCAATAATTGTTCAATTTCCAGATATTATTATAATTTTCGCCTGTATCTCAAAATGACCGATGAAAGGGAATTAATTAAAAAAAGGGCAAGTTACAAAGGTCGATTAACGGCATTCAATAATTATCTCAGTGAATTAAAGGATACATTGAGCTCGTCTCAGATTAGCGAACTGCAATTGCGCGTAAGTAAAATTGAATTATTATACGAACAGTACGATGAGGTTCAATTGAAATTGGAGTGTATAGTGGACGATATCAATAGTCAAATAAACGAGCGGAATGATTTCGAATCGACGTATTATAAAATTCTTTCGAAAGCTCACGAACTTATTCGAGAAAATAAAAATAATCTTGAATGTTTAGGCAGTGAAAAAGATTTTTCACGTATTAACAATAATAAGCTTGTTAAATTGCCTACTATTCAGCTTCCGAAATTTAGCGGGTCGTATGACAACTGGCTTGAGTTTCACGATACTTTTTCTAGCTTAATACACTCAAATGATGATATCGATGATATCAACAAGTTTCATTATCTTCGCGCGTCGCTCGAAGGGACAGCCGCCGTCGTAATACAATCTATTGAATTTTCGGCGAGTAATTATTCGGTGGCTTGGAATTTATTATGCGGACGTTTTAATAATAAACGTATTTTAATTCAAAACCATGTAACGTCATTATTTAACATTGAGGTAATTACTAAGGAATCGTCATTCATTTTAAAGCGCATGATAGACTCCGTGAGTAAAAATCTACGTGCACTTGAGTCATTAGGTGAGCCCATAAATCACTGGAACACCTTACTCATCCACATTATTACTCACAAATTAGATAGTAAGACATACCGGGAATGGGAAGAGTACAAAGGTCACTTGGATAATAACAAAATTATTTCATTTGCGTCATTTTTATCATTTATACAAAATCGTGCAGATCTATTAGAAACTTTGGAACTGTCTCGCAATCCTCAAATTAACCAAAATAAAAATAAAATTAAAAGCATGGTGTCGGTCACTAAGACCCAAAATCGGTTAAATGAGAAAAGCGAAATGTCTCAGTTCAAACTTTGCCCTAACTGTAAGGCTGAGCACAGTCTAAACAATTGTTCAAAATTTCTAGGGCTTTCTTCTGAACAACGATTAGAATTATTACCGCAGTTTAAGGTTTGTTATAATTGTTTACGTTTTGGTCATTTTGCAAACCGTTGTAAGTCGAGTGGCTGTAAAGTGTGTAAAAGAAAGCACAATACTTTGATTCACGTTTCAGATATGAAGCTCAAGACAACTCCCAATTTATCTTCTCGCCCTGAGGACGGTCCACTATCTCTCCCTGGTACATCGTGCGAAGATGAGCATATCGGTAATAATAATATCACTTTGTCTGCGCAAGTATCGACCTACCTACGAAATAAAAATCAGGTACTTTTAGCCACTTCCCTTATAAAAATACACGGTCACAATAATAAGGAATACTTAGCTCGCGCTATTCTAGACAGCGGTAGCACTTCTTGCCTAATTACGGAAAGATTGAGTAAATTATTAGAGTTACCGATAGTTAATGTTAACGAATCTTTATTAGGAATTAATTACTCTAAGTCTCACATAGGCAAAATGTGTTGCGTGCCTATAAAGTCTTTGAACGAAAACTTTAATACTAATCTTTTCTGTTTCGTTTTGCCTCATATAACGGACGAAGTACCGAGTCAGGAAATATCTTTAAACGACATTAACATACCTAGTAACCTCTGTTTAGCAGATCCCCGCTTCCACACGCCATCGTCGGTGGATTTAATTATTGGTGCGGATGTTTTTTGGGACCTATTAGGGGTACGTAAAATTAGTTTAGGAAACGGAAAGCCGGTACTCATTGAATCTAGGTTAGGATGGCTAGTCTCAGGCCCCTTAATTAATAATGGCCAAGTACCGTATTCGATTTCTAACACTAAGTCGTTTTTAGTAAAACTAAATTTGAGGGAAAACGTCTCTTCGCACAATGATAATAACGATGATATTCAAAACCTATTGACGCGTTTTTGGCACCTAGAGGAGGTTTGCCATGATACATCAGTTCTCTCCGCGGAGGAGAAAATGTGCGAAGAACATTTTATTAAAAATACAACTCGTCTACAAGACGGTCGTTTCTGTGTGAGAATACCACTGAAACAATCACGTGATAATTTAGGCGGTTCCCTACAACGCGCCAAGCTTTGCCTCCTTTCTCTTGAGCGTAGGTTTAAGGGTCAACCCAAATTTAAAAATAATTATACTCAATTCATGTCAGAGTATCTAACACTAGGACACATGTCTGAATGTTCATTTGATCCACGGAGGTTAGCATATTTTATACCACACCATGGAGTGATTCGCGAAAGCAGCTTAACGACTAAGCTCAGAGTTGTTTTCAATGCGAGCAGTCCGACTACTTCCGGTATTTCATATAATAATTTGCAATTAGTGGGGCCCACTGTACAGGATGATCTGCTATCTATACTACTTAGATTCCGACAACATAAGTACGTGCTATCAGCAGACGTAGAAAAGATGTATAGACAGATCGTCGTACATCCTGATGACAGACCTCTCCAACAAATAGTTTGGAGAAATGATCCATCAGAGCCCATGAAAGCGTACCAGTTAAACACCGTTACGTATGGCACAGCCAGCGCACCCTATCTCGCCACCAGATGTCTTAAGCAGATTGGTATGGATTGCAAGGACGATAAAATCTCCGAAATAATAATCCATGACTTCTACGTCGATGACCTATTAACTGGAGGGGACAGCATTCAAGATGCGCTGGACATACATAACAAGGTGTCTTCTGAACTGGCCACAGCTGGTATGAACCTCCGTAAGTGGAAATCAAATGAACCTCGAGTAATACTAAATAATAACAATTCATCTCTCGACTTAAATATTGGTTCTACGGAACCCTGTAAAACATTAGGTCTCAGCTGGCAAATCGAGTCTGATGAACTGTATTTTTCGACGAGTGAAATCGTTTTAAATAATTTTACAAAACGTGGATTACTCTCGGTTATTTCACAAATCTTTGATCCACTGGGTCTTCTGACCCCATGCATAATTTCTATGAAAATTTTAATGCAAAAATTATGGTTACTTAAACTTACATGGGACGAACAGTTGCCTTCGGAAATAATTAAATTATGGCTTTCAATTGTAGAAAACTTATCATTTTTAAACAATTTAAGAATTCCACGCAGTGTTATCTGCAATCAATATATTAATGTAGACTTACATATTTTTAGTGACGCATCTCAAGTGGCTTACGGAGCATGTCTGTATGTCCGTAGTTCTAATAATAAAAATAATGTGATGGTGCGTTTACTTTCAGCCAAAAGTCGCGTAGCTCCCATAAGGCCGACTACAATACCACGGCTTGAGCTCTGCGCTGCACTTGTCGGTGTCCGTCTCTATGAGAAGGTGATAAGTTCGCTTCGAATCCAAGTAAGATCAGTAATTTTTTGGTCAGATTCGACAATCGTTTTAGGTTGGTTAAAAATGCTACCTAACAAATTACAACCTTTTGTTCGTAATCGAGTTGCCGAAATTTTGGAAAAAACAGGTTCATTTACTTGGCGACATGTTCCCACTGATCTCAATCCGGCAGACTATGTTTCCCGCGGTACGAACATAAATCAAATTCATAATCTTGACTTATGGTGGTCTGGTCCACAGTTTTTAAAGGGTGACATGTCTAGTTGGCCTGCTAACCCTATTGTAAGTGATAAGCTACCAGAAACTCGCTCAGAGATTTCTTTAGTTGTTACCGATCAGAAAAAACCTTTAATTGACTTTGAGAGATTCTCTAATTTTATAAGATTACAACGTTCTATGGCCTACGTGTTAAGATTTATTAATATTTGTAAAAAGAAACCGGTACAAAGTAAATTTTTAAGTAACGACGAACTACATAATTCTTTAAATACTTTAATTAGATTGTCACAAATTGAGTCATTCGAGGAATATGTGACCTTATATAATAACAAAAAATTGCCTTCAAAATGTACTATTTTGAAATTTAATCCTTTCCTAGACGAAAATAAAATAATGCGTGTCAGTGGTCGTTTAGGAAATGCATTATTTACTTATGAAAAGAACCATCCGATTATGTTACAGTCCACTAATCGTTTTACCAAATTATTGTTTAAGTATATGCATGTCAAGCTTTTACACGCCGGTCCTCGTTTACTATTAGCTTCAATTAGAGAAATGTATTGGCCCATCGGAGGCCTCAAGTTAGCTAAATATTGTTATCGACAATGTTACTTATGTTGTCGTTATAAGGGAAGGGTTATAAATCCACTTATGGGCAATCTGCCTCAGGGTCGAGTGACTCCCGGCGGTTTTCCCTTCGAGAGCGTTGGCGTCGATTATGCTGGACCTATTATGTCCGCCAGTCGTCAAGGCCGTGGTTGCAAGCTTACGAAAGTGTATATTCTCATCTTCGTTTGTTTTGCGACAAAGGCTGTACACGTGGAGTTAACAGGCGATCTAACAAGTAATAATTACTTATCAGCACTTCGTCGATTCATTTCACGTCGCGGAAAACCTAAAAACATACTCCGACAACGGAACTTCATTCGTAGGCGCATACAACGAAATCGGTCGTTTTATAAAAGACAATTGCAATTCACTGTCCGAGAATTTGGCTCAGGAAAATATAAATTTCCATTTCATTCCTCCGCAAGCCCCTCACTTTGGCGGTCTTTGGGAAGCAGGCGTTAAGTCAATAAAATATCATTTACGGAGAATATTAGGTAATTGTAACCTTACATACGAGGAATTAAACACTGTGCTGGTTCAAATTGAAGGTGTACTGAACTCTCGTCCGCTGACACCTCTCTCCACGGATCCTGATGACTTACTGCCATTAACCCCGGGACATTTCCTCATCGGCCGCCCCATCACCTCTCTTCCTTCTCAAAATTATGAAGAAGTCCCTAGCAGTAGACTGAGTCGATACCAACGCATCCAACAACTTCGTCAACATTTTTGGAGAAGATGGAGCAAGGAATATCTCTCAGAACTCCAGCAGAGATCAAAATGGCGTTCCAATGCTGACACTTTAGGGACGGGTGATCTTGTAGTTCTGAAGGAAGACAATTTACCGCCGCTCAAATGGCGACTGGGTCGAATTACAGCCTTTCATCCCGGAGCCGACGGCATCAACCGCGTTGCCGATATCAGAACTGCCACCGGAATCGTCCGAAGACCTTTCTGCAAAATCTGCCCTTTACCTAACAACAAGGAAGGCTAATTTTGTTGAAAGACAAGCTTTCAACGCCGGGGGGCATGTCTACGAAAACGCCTGTGGTTTTTTGTTACGCACGAAGTTGCGTTACATACGTTTTACTTATTTCTTTTTTTCTTTGTTGTTTTTAAGTTGTAACCACCGCCAATTTTTTTTTTGTCAATTGAGAAGTACACGGCGATAATATCTGCATCAAGAAGTTTTATTTTCTCCTCGAATTAAAAAGTATTCAACAACATAAGAACTTTGGAAGTCGAGGGCTTTAATGTTTCCATACACTATGTCTCATCATTGGCTTCAGAATATTTTATTTGGAAATTTTATTTATTCTTTTTAGTTATATGGAGTCGATTTTACTTTTCATTAAAGTAATTATTTTTCGTTCTCTTAGTAAACATTTTCATCATTCATCATCATTACAGCCCTTCACAAGTCCACTGCTGAACATAGGCCTCCGCCTAAGAATGCCACAAAACACGGTCCTGAGCCGCCTGCATCCATCGACTTCCTGCATGTCTTACCAGGTCGTCACTCCATCTCGTGGGGGGACGCCCTACACTTCGCCTACCGGTACGAGGCTGCCACTCGAGAACCTTTCTTCCCCATCGGTTGTCGGTTCTTCGAGCTATATGGCCGGCCCACTGCCACTTCAGCTTACTAATCCGTTGGGCTATATCGGTCACTCTGGTTCTACTGCGGATATCCTCATTCCTAAGTTTATCACGCAGAGAAACTCCGAGCATAGCCCTCTCCATAGCTCGCTGAGCGACCTTGAGCTTCCTCATACGGCCAGCAGTGAAGGACCACGTCTCAGTTCCGTAAGTCATCACTGGCAATACGCACTGGTTGTACAATTTCGTTTTAAGGTTTTGAGGTATGTCTGACGAGAAGATGTGTCGCAGCTTCCCGAACGCTGCCCAGCCGAGTTGAATTCGTCGATTGACCTCTCGGTCGAAGTTGGACTTACCTAGTCATTTTCATAAATGTTATATTGTAAATTTAGCCCATAGTATTATGAAATTAATATTCATTCCAGTAAGCATTCTACGAAATATAGTATATGTAAATACAATGAAGGCGATATCTCGTTAACTCAAATGTTTAGAATGTTTCTGTATGATAAGGGGAACTAGTTACTATAACAAACAGAAACTCCTGTTAAGTCGAAAGTGGCTTCCTAGTTTCATCTGCTTTTGTGTGATACATAATATCGAACTGTGACTCATACTCGTATTATTCTGCATAATGCCTATTAATGTTTGTTGCTGGAACTTCATTGTTTACTGGGATTCGAAATACAAGCACAGGGCAACTTTAGTGGAGAAATGGAGAAAACACATATACATCATCTTACCAAGTAAAACGACTTATTGAGTTTTAATCTGACCGATGTTGCAGTCTAAAATTTACACTTACATGAAAACATTAGGTAAAATTAAATAAAACTTTTAATGTAAAGTAAAAACTGTTAATCATATTTTCACATTCTGTAGTCGGCACTAAGACTATATTTGTATGTGCTACGCTGCCGCTGTACTATGGTTATGGCACGAATAGGTAGTCTCGACCGTGGAATAGAATAGAATAATTTTTATTCAATCTGGATCATTACATAAAACATATTGAAAGCTGTTTTTATCGGCTGGATTATAATTTCTTTAAAATATTTATAATTTTACAATAATTTAAACAATTTTATATTAATTATAACAGAACCAGCATGGTAGCCATCTCCTCATTTTCAGGGGTTATTTTCATTCATATATTTAATAACACTTTCACTGTCCGGTTTCCAGACACAATAGTAAGGCAATAGCAATGACCCATATGTACATAGGTCAAGGGATAGTGAAAGTGAATTACTATATTAACTCTTTTTTGTTTTAAATTTCTTTAATAAAACTTGTTGATTTATACACTTTGAACTTTACTTTGAATAATAAAATAATATTGAAAGTACTAAAGATGACAAAGCCCTTTCAATAATGTCACAAGTCGTCCCATGTTGCCCTAGGACTTATTGATCTCATATCTGTGTGGGACTTTTAACTAAAACATATGTGTCAACTATGTTTATTGTCTAACATGTCGTTAAAGTTCACTAATGGGTTATTGGGTTTGTGGTTGCTTGGCTAGCTATACTCTATTCCGTTGGGATAAATAGATTAACATTTTCATTTTAGCGTTGTAAAAAGTTGGCGTTAACATGACAAATGTTTGCTTGTTTTAGGCTGGGCGTTGTCCTTTAACCTTTACTTAATAATATCAGTGTGATAAAAGTCTAACATTTCTGATGATGATATGATGATAGAAGTTAATACAGTTCATGGTTCATCAACTAATACGTGGTAAAGACACGCCTATTAAGACTGTAGCATTAATCGGTGGGTTAAGTCCGGGTGGAACCACGAATGTTTTTACTGGTAACAAGGCATTTCAACTAAGTCATCAGAGTTGACAACGCTTTTGGTTATGGATGTTAACAGCGCCATCGCTCTTTAAATCTATACATATAATAAAAATGATAATAACATGTTGTGTCTGTTGCTGAATATTGTATAGTATATTAATTAGTGACTAAAATCATTACGGGGACTGTAAATCATTAAATAAGTACATTTTTATAATTTTCAGAATTGTACTATCTGAAGGTCTGTCTGTTTGTTTATGGACGCATGACGTTTTGAGTAAACATCTTTTTTTCAATGAAATCCTTAAGAAAATCATAAAGTGTATTATCAAGTTCATTTAATCTCTGTTTTATTGAAATTGGTTAATTCTATCAAAAGTTATGATTATTATTTTGAAATGTACGTTCGAATTTTTTAATGGCGCCACAAAATCTCAGAACAAGTAATAAAAAGATTCGTGTGTAAAAAAAACATTCTATTATAATATATGTCTTATCGTTCTATTATAGATTTTTCGCAGGTGAATCGTATTGAGACTCACTGAAATAATTTATGTCCATGAGTCTGACGAAGTTGCAAGCTTGTAAGGTATATATACAGTAATCTATGCCTGCCTGTAAGAGCCGTGTAGGCTAACAACACAACAACACAACACAAAAACCATCAGAAACAAAAACCAGAAAAAAAAAGATATTGAAATATTCAATTATTCAACAAAACTCGACTAAAAGTAGCAAAATTGCAATAAATGTCGTGATAGTGACATTGTTTTATACCCAGAATCCCTCTAATACCAAATAACTTTCCTTTCAGTTTTAAGTAAAGTAAAGTAAAGTTGCAGCCTATTTACGTCCCACTGCTGGGCACAGGCCTCCTCTCATTTCTGAGAGGGTCTTAGGGCAAGGAAATGTCCACCACGCTGCCCCAATACGTGTTGGCGAACTTCACATGTCATCGAAATATTTTTTTTTATTTCTCAAACCGCCGAGAACGTGGTAAATCAGCACTTAAAATTGCAATTAACAATTTCATTGGTGCCGGCGGGGATCGAACCCGGGTTGCTCGAGTACTGTGAAGCTTACAGCGAGCGCTAACCATCTGAGCTACCACGGCTCAGGCTTCAGTTTTAAGATAGGGATAATAACATCGATGATGACATCGATGTTGGCATCGATAGCTCAACATCGATGTTCGATGTTTAGGCTACTCAAAACATTGATGTTGAAAATTATCGATGGTTTTTGTATATGTGTAGATACTTACACATTGTTTCAAAATTATGTGGGTATACACAGCAAGGGAAAAGTAACAATTAACTTGAATATCAATTTACGTAGAATAGTTATTATGCGACAACCGACAACGACACTACAAAATAAAGCGAAAGCAGTGACCATTGTGACATTACAGGAGACACTTGACAATTAAGTTTGACTCACCATACTGACATTTTTTTAGGTTAGCGATGCGTTCAGAAATTCTGAATTATTCAAAATTTTTAATCTTCAGAGCAGATGCAATATTTAGTTGATATTGATTTCGCGAGTTCGCATTGTTTGCAAGTTCCCAATTATCGATTATGGGTTCATTGACGTCGATGTTTCGATGTTTCACATATTATGTCAACATCGATGTTAAAACATCGAAGTTTTAATTTTTAACATCGATGATCATCTAACATCCCTATTTTAAGTGTGTTTCCCACTCAGCGCGTGTTATGCGACGATCGTAAATAAAGCGCAAGGTCAAACTTTACGCGTTGCAGGAGTGGACGAACAATTTTTGTTGGCTTTAACTCATTTTCGAACACCCAAACTCGTGACTGGATTTTTGTTTCGGGTTCGTACGCATATATCCAGGATTCGTTACCTGATACGATGTTGTATACAGCATTTGAAGATCCTGCGTGGAATCTTTCGAAAGTTCTGACACACCAAGTAACGCGAGTCGCTTTTTGCTCTTCACAGAGCGAATGCGGTATTCATCGGGAAAACAACTTTTTTACACCTAATTGTTCATGCAAGATTATTTGTATTTGAGTCATGCCAATATCTAAAGTTGCCTGAATTTCGCGGTATGTCACATGTCGATCTTCCTCAATCAGCTTACGCACAGCATCAACGTTTTCTTGGGTGACTGCAGTTTTTGGATGACCTTGACGGGGATCATCACTGAGCTTGACACTTCCACGTTGAAATTCAGCAAACCAGCGATAAATTGTTTTTGGATAGGGCTTCATCACCAAATGCAGAAATCATCCGGTCAACACACTGTTTTTGTGTTAAACCACTTCGAAAGTCATAATAAATCATCGCTCTTGAATTTTCTCGAGTCAATCCCATTTTCTCAACGACTAAACAAGTTTGACTAAACCTTGTGACGAGACAGAGTATCTTTTTTTAAATAAATAAATGGTATTCGATTTTTAAAACCAAATAGTTTTTAATTAAAAAGATTTTAATATGACAGGAACAGTGGAAATATTCCATTCCCGATACTTTTAGTGCTGCCTATGTATATGTATGTATTACATACAAACCAAAATTAAGTCTAATGATAATAAGATAATCCACTATCCAAAGTTGTCATTACGGG